TACAAATAACAGCGTATCTTAAAGTATGAGACAACAACAAACAAAAAACATACCATTAAGCATAAAACATACGCAATCCTCTTCACTAATATTCTCTGCGTCTCAATCGGGCTCAAACTGATAAGCAATATAGACGATGCCATTGTTTACAATAGAACCGGAGCACATGCCGCTGAGGTGAGGGGCGTGATGATTAGACGCGCACTAGAGGCAGTTTAGCAAATCAGGGCCGTCCTTAGCTGACGCAGTAAAGCTTTAATCAGGATAAAACCGTATATTAAAAGCTAACATAAGCAGTAGCATTTACAAATAACAGCGTATCTTAAAGTATGAGACAACAACAAACAAAAAACATACCATTAAGCATAAAACATACGCAATCCTCTTCACTAATATTCTCTGCGTCTCAATCGGGCTCAAACTGATAAGCAATATAGACGATGCCATTGTTTACAATAGAACCGGAGCACATGCCGCTGAGGTGAGGGGCGTGATGATTAGACGCGCACTAGAGGCAGTTTAGCAAATCAGGGCCGTCCTTAGCTGACGCAGGGCCTGGTGCGAGGTAGGGAGCGGGGCCCCCTCGGTCCGTTCGCGATCGTGTCCCGGGGGAGGGGTTTGGGTCCCCCTCGGTCTGTTCGCCACGGGGCCTGGTGCGACCAGTGTTAATTTTGACAGGCATTTTTGATTTAGTCTTAGTCTTTATCTTCAGACGAAAATGCTTAATAGTCTTAGTCACATTTTAGTAATTTGAGTCTTTCATAGTTTTAGTCTAGTTTTAGTCAACGAAAAGTCATTGCATTTTTGTCAACTTTTAGTCATTACTTTTAGTCAAACTGCAGATACCAACATTTTTTTTGGTAGCTATTTTATATGTAGTCTTCAAACAAAAATACTCATTAATTATTCTCTCTTTAGATCAAATCAATTAAGCTTATGAGAAATTTGAATCAAGGATTGAATTTGGAAAAACTTGAATAAATCATGACAATTTTCATTTTTGGATGAACTATCCCTTTAACAGTAGTGAAAAGGGAGCAACTTATAAAAATTATAGTTATTCATATATAATATATATAATATAGGCCTATATAATTTATAATTTTTTAAAAAGAAGCAGAATAAGACAATAAGACAAATACGAAAGAGATACAAATTAAACTCATTTTTCAGATACAGTAGGTTTACTTAACATATTTATTTAACATCTATTGTTGGTTAACTTTAATGACGCGGATAGATACTTCATTAGGAATGCTGTCCCTTTAAGATGGAAGGCATGCATGTAATACTGACACACATTCAGTTTTCACCCACCTGTTTATGTTCACTTAATCCAAAATAGGCTTGCCGCTATAGACGGTGCTGACGGTGATACCGGTGTTAAGCCGCAACACCGGTTAAGTCGCTTGCCCACCGCGTCACCGACCCCCACCGTCGTTTTGATATTTTATGGAAATAAAAATCTTTTCGTTCAGTAAAAGAACAGACACTACAATTAAAAACTGAACGCGGCTGCTCAATGCAGTTGAACGACAGTTGCAT